CCCCCAATCATAAAGTCTTTCCTACTAATCTAAAATTTATTCCCATTCCCAAAATTGTATCTGAGGCTTTAAATGATGAGAATTGGAAAAGTGCCATGAAAGTTGAAATGGAAGCACTTGAGAAGAATAAGACATGGGACTTGGTGGGGTTGTTAAAAGGAAAGAAAAGAATGGGATGTCAATGGGTGTTCACGGTGAAGTACAAATCTAATGGTTCTATGGAGAGGTACATAGCAAAGCTAGTTGCTAATGGGTACACTCAAATGTATGGAATAGACTACCTTGAAACATTTGCCCATGTTGCGAAGATGCACACTGTGAGAGTATTGTTGTCACTAACTGCTAATCGAGGATAGAAATTATATCAATTTGACATCAAAAATGTCTTTTTACATGAAGAGCTTAAGGAGGAAGTCTACATGGATGTCCCACCAGGGTTTAGTCTAAATACTGGACATGTGGTATGTATGCTAAAAAAGGCTTTATATGGACTGAACCAGTCCCCGAAAGCTTGGTTTGGGAGGTTTACCAAGGAAATGCTCAAGTTGGGGTATAAATAGAGCCAAGGTAATCATACTCTGTTTGTAAAACACTCATTTTTAAGGGGAGTGATAGCCTTGTTAGTTATGTGGATGAAACTATAGTGACAGAATATGATTTCAAAGGAATGGAAGATTTGAAGAAATGCCTAATAAAGGAATTTGAAGTCAAAGAACTAGGTAAGTTGAAATACTTCTTAGGCATCGAGGTAGCAGATTCTCAGGAAGAAACCTTAATATCTAAGCAAAAATACATTGTTTACTTGTTGTCAGAAATAGACAAGTTGGGATGCAAACCAGTATAGACTCCTATAGAGGTCGACCATAGACTTGGAGATTCATTAGAAGAAGCATCTATTGATAAAAGTTCCTATCAGAGGCTAGTGGGAAAACTCATATACTTGTCACATACTAGGTCGGATGTTTCTTATGCAGTTAGTGTAGTAAGTAAATTCATGCACAACCCCAATGAGTCATATCTTAGGGTTATGTACTAGATCCTACAGTACTTAAAGTGCACACCAGGAAGGGGAATCTTATTTAAGAAATGGGAGAAGCTAGATCTTGAGGCCTACAGTGATTCAGATTATACAAGGTCTAAAGTTGACAGAAGATCAACCTCGAGCTATTGTACTTTCCTAGGGGAAACCTTGTGACTTGGAGAAGTAAGAAACATAATGTTGTCACTATATATAATGCAGAAGTTGAATTTAGGGCAATGTCACTTGGAATTTGTGAGTTGTTATCGCTAAAAATCATTTTGCAAGATTTAAAAATCAAGTGGGAATGTCCAATGAAAGTGTATTGTGATAATAAGTCAGCCATCGTATTGCCCACAATCCAGTGCAACATGATCGTACAAAGCACATTGAAGTTGAAAGATATTTTATAAAGGAGAAACTTGACAGTGGCCTAATTTGTACTCCTTATGCGTCCACTGATGGTTAACTAGAAGATATACTTACCAAAGGATTGCTTGGGAAGATTTTTCAGAAGTTAGTGAGCAAGTTGAGAATGGATGATATCCACTTCTCAACTTGAGGGGAGTGTCAAATTCAAGTTTCCTAAATAGAGAATACTAGTTGTATTAACTAGGATATTATATAAATATGTTAGTGATTGCAGTCCCTAACTTTAAGGGATTTATTCTAGGTCAAATATTCCTAGAATCAGTATCTTTCCTAGTTTAGGGTTTCATAACTTAGGCTTATTAGATCTATAAGAATCAATTTAAAATTTCTATGAATCAATCAATCGAATCAGGTCACTTTTTGACAATAATATGCCCCAGTAAATATGGTTATTCTGATATTCCAATTATTCATGCACTTAAATCATTCATTATTTGACATGCTTGTTAGACCTAAATTGTTTTCTTTAACTTACACCTCGTACTATATAGTGATTTTATTGATATATCTTGGGTCCAGGCCCAGGGTCCCAAGTACATTGGTGTTAACATCCGAATCCAGTATTGTGATAAATTCAATAAGGTTAGTCAATGAAACACACAGCTCAGATGTCAATAAGGGTCTCATTTAAATGTGGCTCCTAGTTTAACTTATTGTTGGCCATAGGTCATAAATAAGGTAGCCGATGCTCATATTGATCTATCTGTTCAATTTTGTTGCAGGTTGTTGCTGTTCATGTGCCAGTTCTAGAGAAGAGCAATAGGAAATGTGATGACTTAAAATCAAATATGCAATCTAGACTTCTAATTATTGATATTCCACTTGCTTGCTTTATATTGGGTGAGTTACTATGTTTAAGAGATTATTGATGCATGTGAAGTATTTACCTATTTGCCTATGCTTCCTGTAGCGTACACAATTTTTGATATGCTATTTTCATTCGTGGTATATTTTGTTGAACTTAGCATTGATACCTCAAACTTTATTAGGTTAAGCTTTATGTTAGATGTTCCAAAAGATCAAACTTTGTGGCAAGAGAAGCATGTCTAGTCTCGCTCATTTCTTTCTTGAAGATTTTACTCTTATCTTCCTTGCGGCTCTTCCATGTGCATTTCAAGGAAGAAATTTCAAGGCAGCAGGAGGGATGGACAAATAGTTCTTGTTAAAAAAATATACAAGACTGATTGTTTCAAAGTAAACAATGCCACGACTCGTTGCAACTAATAACAACCGGCTTTCTTTGATACCAAACGGCTCAACCTTTGTCTCTTCCATCGAAGGTAGATACAATGTGTTTGGCACTAGGGATGGCAAACGGGCGGGTCGGGTGCGGATACCCCCTCCCCCATCCCCATACCCATCTAATATTTTTCAATCCACCACCCGCCCACCACCCATGATGGGTAAAAATTTTCAAATCCACACCCGCCCACGCGGGTACATTCTCAAATCCATCCCCACACCCACTACCCAACTAGAGATGTATCCGGCTAGACCCGCTTGACAGCAAACTTAAGTTATACATAAGCAACAAACACATAAATAAAACTAGTACTTACACATTTTGCCTTAAACTGATATCAAGTAGTCTAAGCTCCATTCCAATCCAAATTTCAGTATGTTTCCATAGTTTCGATAAGTTTTGATATGTTCCAACCAGTATCAATGCATGCAGATTGATATAAGATTTCGACATTTTAACTAAAAAAACGAGTATTTTATTATGCAATCCATTCCAATATCCTAAGACAGTGAATCCTTTATACAAAAAACACCACAAACTCCAACATCATTTGAAGATCGACAGAAACTTGATAGTAACGATGAAACTGAGATATACGTAGAACCCAGAATGCCTTTGAAGATCGGCGCAGTAATGACTAATGAGAGGTTTGAAAGGAAAAAAAATCATGCATAAACTTAACTTATCCCTAATATTTGGTTAAATAACAAGTTATATCTTATACAATATTAGGATTTATAAATTAGTCTCTAAAATTACAGCTAAATTCATAATGGTCCAAAATGTAATCGATATTTAGCTGGGCGGGCGGATACGGGGTGGGTAAGGTGTCAAACTCATTACCGGCCCACTTCCCGCGACGGGTACCACTTTCTAAATCCACACCCGCCCACTACCCGCTAAAATTATACCCATCCCTGCCCCAATTAGAGTGGATGCGGTGCGGAATCTACGAAATTGTACCCGTTTGTCATCCCTATCAGCACTACACGTCATTAGAGAATATATAAATCTCAAAACCGATATAAATCCAGTACAAAATTTTAAAATTTTATTTTTAATAAAATGAAAAAAAAACATAATTTTTGTCTAAATAAATTTAAATTTAGCATACATGGTTTATTAAAATTATCAATGGAACATCTTAAATAAATAAATATGAAAAACAACATAATTTTTCTCTAAATAAATAATAATTCCATATTATTAAAAAGAATATTCTCTCTTAGTTTTGATAATTAATGTTTTTGAAGTTGACGTCAAAGTCATGGCGTGTTTGAAGGATTAATTTTGGCAGGTCTCACAATTTCACCCAATACTTGTTAGCCACAAATGGTGGTTCAACAGATAAAGAGTCCACGTCCCCATACACTGTTCGATCTAAAAAATAATAAAATGAAGCTTCGTCTGCAAGTTAGAATTTGGCGTCTGAACCCCGCTATTACTGGGGGCAGAAGCCTTGAAAAAAGCCACGTATAATCAAACAAACATTGGGCTAAACCCTCGGTTCTGGACTCCAAAAAGCCATGAAAATGGTCATCAAGGAAGTTGCCAACATAATCATCACGGCGACAAACGTGTAAAACGGTTTTTTGGGGTTAAAACTGAATCAAAACAGTGTTACATATTCGAATTTTATAATATGATAAATTGATATACCTAAGAAGGGACTCAATTCCAAAAGTCCAAAGAGTACGGGGATTTAGAGCAAAGTTATAGGGACTGAAACAACATTTTAGCATGTCTTTCATTTTCTGTTTAATACTGGGATAAATTATTCTTTGGCGATAACTTGAAAATGAACAAATTATTATTGTTATTATTATTTGCGTGTTTATTTTATTATATTACAAATATAAGTAAATTACACGTTTAGTACTTAAGTTATTAATTATGGTCTATTTTAGTATTTAAAATTTTAATTTTTTAAAATCATACTTAAAATTTAGTTTTTGTTTTATTTTAGTACATCGTCTAAAATTTAACGTTGGTTTTTGAAAAAAAATGAAAGATTAGATACTAAAACAAATCAAAATTTATAGTTTAGATACTAAACGCATTAAGTGTTTAAAAGTAGGTACCAAGATGAAATAAAAATTAAACTTTAAGTATGATTTTCAAAAAACTAAAAATTTATATACTAAAAGAGACTAAAATAAATAATTTAAGTGATAAATGCATAATTTACTTTAAAAATATTTGTTTGGTGATAACTCTATCAATAGAAGTTGGAATTAAGCAAAAAGGTAGCCCAAAAAATTCAATTATGTAAAAGCCCAACATAATTCTTAGATAGCCACATATATGCTAATTCCACAGAGCCACTCGCTCTTGTACAATTTTAATTCCAATGTTTTGGCCTGTAAAGAGATCGATGAAAGCAGAAGGGATAGTCTCAACCCCATCGGAGATGTCTGCCAATACCAAAATTTTACCAGTGCGAAGGAGACCGCAAGTTGTGGAAAGGATTCTCTTGTAAATAACATCCATCATACTGGGTGTCGCTCGATTTCTGTCATCCGTATACTCCGATATCATCCCACAAACAGCTACTCGACCATTCATGTTCATGTTACTTACTGCTTCTGCTTGCATCTCTGCCCCCACATTGTCGAAATATATGTCGATTCCATCTGTGAAATACCTTTACAATTTAATGCAACTGCCATTAATTTTATATTAGAATAGCTTCAAGAGATACGTTTATTATTCAACCCAACTAAGATAAGTTTATTATGCAAGTGCCATTAATTGTAAGATCCGAATTCAAAATTTTACTTAATTCTTTATTATTTAACCCAACAGAGATGAGTTTCTATATATATTATGCCATACAAGGGAAATACCTTTTGAGAGTTGACTTTAAATCAGTTTCTTTTGAGAGTCCACTAACCCCTGAAATATGCATTTGAAGTTGAACAAAAGCGGAGAATTAAGTGGTAATGACCCGATGGCATATAAAACGTAACATGCTGCAAAGAGGATTAAGCATAATTCAACATCAATTATGAGAAAGAAAAAGATTTTTTTTTTGAGGTTTACCCAAAATTCCAATATGGTAAGACAAGGGAAAGCCAATGGAGTCGAGCTTGTTCAGCATGCCACCGGCTTTTACGAGCGTGAACTCTCCCCAGTTGGGGAGGCCGGCAACAATGTCACCCTTCTCAAATTTTGGGTTCGTAGAAGCCACAACTCTGCCAACACCGTAAGTATTGATAGCCTGTTCCGAAAAAAGAAAATAATGGTCCACAGAGATTTATATTTCAACGGATTGTTTTAGCTGAAGGGGATTGGTTTGACTAATATTTTACCTCACCGGGAGAAATGGCGATTGCATACGCTGCTCTCTCTTGTGAGGAGCTATAGCTTTTCATGCGGTTTAACTGGTAAGGGTCGATTGAAACGTAGAGATTTTGGACAATGACTTCATCGGAGCCAGGGTCCATGGAAAGAGTAAGTGGTGAAGACTTGAGCTTGAAATCAGTCTTGTGGTGCATCGTTTACGTGGTTCTTGATTGCAATGTATCTGTTGATAATTTCCATTTTGAAGCCTTTGAGCCCTTTCTTTTGTGCTTCCGAATCTTTATAATTGAATAAACTAAAGATGGAATTTTTGCGGAGAGTCCACCCAGCGTTCTATACTTCTATTGGTGTGCGTTTGGCATACTTCTCTGCCTCAAAACATCTTATCAGCAACAGAAGCAACGCCGTAGAAAATTGATTTTTCATCAAACCAAAAAGCCACATATTCTAGGCTTTTGCACCACAAAACTTACTTTAAGAGTGGAATTTCATTTTTACCCCAACTCATAACTCATATACTGATATGAGTTAATTTATAATTTATTGTGATAGCTGATATGTCGATATATAATTTTAGTAGATTAATGCTTTTACATGTATATGCTTGTTTTTTAACTTTTTCTTTAAACGATGTCAACTGAATTTCATTAATAAAAATGAAAGAATCAAAATTACAACACATTCAAAGAAAAAATTAGACATTATAGTCACTAAAAACTCATACAAAAAATAAAAATATAAAACCTAAATATACGAAGAGATTGAAATTTTTCAAACATCAAAACAATTTAGTAACCTTCTAAAAACTCTTTGTCTCTGTCGAACGAGACGCTTTATGATGTGATAAAGGAGTGATGAGTGAACCAAACAATTTGATAGGCTGATTCGATATACAATTCTGATTATATCGGCAAACAACCATTTACAAAAGAGTGGATTTGACAATACGTGATCACCGACAAACCAATCAGAAAACAAATGCCACGAGGATATTTGTAGAAACACCAACACGACCGCAAAAGTATTATTCAAATAAGTTGTGATTTATTCAAATTTATTATGAATTTATAATTATTATGTTCGTATATAATTTTAAATAACTAATACTTATGCATATATAATAAATATTTTTATTAATTTATTTACATTCGTATAAATAAGTTATAATTTATTTAAAAATGTAAATTTGTAATGGTTATGTTCCTATATAATTTTAATATTTAAAAGATAATTTATATATTCAAATAAAATATAAAAAATAAGACAAGCTGATACCTGAAAGGGACTAAATTCCAAATGTCCAAATAGTATGGGGATTGAGAAATAAGTATAACTAAGGTTTATATATGAAATTATAGGGACTGAAACAGTTTTTTACCACGCCTTACATTAAATTCTTTATTATTCAACAAAACAGAGATAAGTTTATATGTATATTATATATCATACAAGGGTAGTTCTGCTGTGCGGATGTTAAAAAATTGAGTGACCGGTTAAAATTTAGACATGTTATGTTATATCATTTAATCGGAAATATTATCAAGTAAAATAATAAATTACGTAGCGTTTATATAATGTAATAGGTAGCGCTTATATAATAAAATAGGTTAATTACTGAAAACATTATCAAGCATAATAACATATTAGGTAGCGTTTATATAATGTAATAGGTAGCGCTTATATAATAAAATAGGTTAATTACTGGAAATATTATTAAGCACAATAACATACTAGGTAACGTTTATATAATATAATAGGTAGCGCTTATATTGATCTATTCTATCATAAAACAGATATATTTATACCGGTAACATTGCAAATTTACCTATTACATTATAATTATCGGTTTCGATGTTTTTGGGATCGATACAATTTTAAATGTATCGACACTTTATGCGTGCTCCTCGTTGGACATTCATTCTGGAAAAAAGTATTGACACAAACTTAAAACGTGTAGATACATTATGTAGACTTATTTTTTCATAAACCCGGTATATTTCTACCGGTACATTATAAATTTACCTAATACATTGTAATTATCGGTTTCTATTTTTTGGGATAGATACTTTTAATAAATTTATCGACACTTTATGTATGCACCTCGTTGGATATTCATTCTGGAAAAAAGTATCGACACAAACTTAAAATGTGTCGATACATTATGTAGACATATTTTCTCATAAAACCGATATATTTCTACCGAGTACATTGCAAATTTACCTATTACATTGTAATTATCGGTTTCAATATTTTTGGGATCGATACTTTTAATAAATGTATCGACACTTTATGTGTGCACCTCGTTTGGCATTCATTCTGGACAAAATGTATCGACACTTTTTAAATTTGTGTCGATACATTATGTAGACTTATTCTCTCATAAAACCAGTATATTTATATTGGTTACATTGTAAATTTACCTATTATATTATAATTATCGGTTTCGATATAACATATGTGTCGATACTTTTAGAAAATGTATCGACACATATGTTTAATTATTCTCTCAATATAATATAATTAATGATATATTATTCTTATTATAATAAATAATAAATATAATTTATAATAATTTTATTTTAATAAAATATAATAATCATAATTTTTTATTTATAAAATTATAGATATAATATTTTAATAATAATATTGACATAAATAATATTAAATAAATTATTCTAATATTTTAAAAATAATATTATTATTTTGTTAATAAATAATATTATTTTATTTTATTTGATGTTTATAATTATATTGTAATTATAATTATTTTTCATCACTTCATTATGATTATTTTTTAAAATTATATTATAATTATATATAATTTTTTTATTTGAAAGCTAATATGGAAATAGAACCGTGTCTTTTTTTTCATTAGTTATATTGTGGTAACTTACAAACAAAAAAATTAAAATTAATTTGTATAATTTGTGTTTATTAATTTTAGAGAAAATCGCCTCAGTGACCAAAAAAAAGTTATAATATACGATTTTAACCAACTTTTTTTGGATTTGCCAAAATGACCAACAAAATCGCAACGCGAAATAAAAATCGCAACGCGATCCCCAGAATCGCAAATCAGTTTCCAAAATCGCAACGCGATTCTTGAAAATCGCAATGCGATAGTACAAATTCGCATTGCGATTTTCCAAAATCGCAACGCGAATATGAAAATCGCAACGCGAACACATAAATCGCAACGCGTATCCGTAAATCGCAATGCGTATCCGTAAATCGCAACGCGTATGGGTAAATCGCAATGCGTATCCGTATATCGCAACGCGTATCCGTAAATCGCAACGAGAATCTGTAAATCGCAACGATAATCCGTAAATCGCAACGAGAATCTGTAAATCGCAACGATAATCCGTAAATCGCAACGAGAATCTGTAAATCACAACACTGAAATTTTGGGTATATAACACTGAAATCATAAACTAAATCCCTAAATCGCAACTCATTCCATCTCCATCTATCACTCTCTCCGGCGACATCCGTTCCTATATCCAACGACATCCTTCCCAATCCGGCAACAGGTTTTAGTTTCGCAGCTCGTCTGTTTAGTAAATTAATTTACAACCATGAAATCATCTAATGTTGATCATGTTTGGATAGATTTGTGTTTTGGAGGGTCATGGGATAATGTTCATGGTGTTTTACAATATATGCCTTTACCCATGAATCTTCAACTAAAATTGTCTTTACAAAAGTTAACTTATGAAACTCTAATGCTACGTGTTTCAAATAAATTGAATTTAGAGCCCCTAAGTGGATTTAGGCTATCTTATCAGAGAAATGGTAAAGTTTATTTGTTAACCGACAATGAAGATGTTGAACGATTCATTGCTTACATTAGTGTTTCACAAGATGATGTTACATTGTATGTTGTTGAACCTAGAAGTAGTATTGTTGGGTCAGTAGCGGGTAGTAATCAACTAAGTTTTTCTCAAAACCCACAACCTTTCTCTAATCCAAATCCCAATCAACTTTCAGCACCAAATTCCGGTTTTCGTATTGACCAGTTAGACGATGATGAGCCAACAGAAAAAATTGTGAGTACTAGTCAGTATTCGAAATTTGGTCTTGGTCAATATCCGGACTTTGATATTGGTCAATACACGGATTTTGATGATGTTTCAGAAGAAGAAACAGACCATGTGTGTAATGATTTTCATATTGGTCAATACCCGAATTTTGATGATGAAACACCCGTTGCCGAGGAAGATGTTGTTGATGATAATGAGGAGGAAGTTACGACTGTGAATGAACATGTTGAACATCCATTCTGTAATTCATATAATCCTGAAGAAGAAAAAGAAGAAGAAAAAGTCCCCGAAGAAAAGAAAATGCCACGGGAGTATAACTGGAATATGCCAGAATTACTTCAGTTACCGGAAGAAGAGTTGGCAAAGAAAGCAGTTGATTGTTACACAAAAGTTATTTGTGTCAAGAAAGATGATTGTTTTGATACAAAGGAAGACTTGAAGATAGCTTTGTATATGAAATGTGTGGAAGATGGCTATCAACTAAAAGTTAACAAATCAAGCAAAGATCGTTTCGAAACAAGGTGTATGATTGACAAAAACTGTACGTGGCGTATGATTGCAAAGAGAATAAAGATTGCAAAATGTTTCAAGTTAGGACTTTTATTGATAAACATACATGTTCAAGAACCCAAGTTTTTCCTCACCATAGACAGGCAAACAAAAAGGTGTTGGGTGGTTTTCTGGCTGAGTTAATGTTTTGAATGGTAGGGTATATCGGGGACATGAAATTATGACTGACATGAATGCTCGGTTCAAGATTAGTATATCATATTCTCAAGCTTGGAGAGCCAAATGTTATGCCTTGGAATTGTTGAGGGGGTCGCCAGAAGCATCGTTTGCCCAACTGCCGGCTTATTGTCACAATTTAAAGCTGAAAAATCCTGGGTCGGTAACTCATATCAAAACAGATAGAGATGGACGCTTTGAGTTGCTGTTTATCGCCATTGGTGCTACGGTTAGTAAATCAATATAATTTTGTTGACTCATTTTTGTTAGTTACATGCATTTCACATTTAAATGATTATATTTCTTGTGTATATTATTTTGTAGATTCGTTCGTTTATTACTTGCATGCGCCCAGTTATTATAGTTGACGGAGCACATTTGAAAGGTCGATACCTTGGAGTAAACTTATTAGCAGTAGCCATGGATGCTAACAATGGGATATTGCCAATAGCTTACGGGGTTGGCAAATCTGAAACCTTTGATTCATGGACATGGTTTATGGGGCATCTTAGGGATTGCAT